GATAACGCTATGTTCAATATTTGACCCTACTTTAAACCATCCAGCAGAAGTTGGCAAAAGAAGAATGCACTTGACAGGCCCGAAGATTCCAAGGCAAGTAAGTATGAGACACGTTGCCTGAGTTGCATCCTCAATGTATGATTTGACCTGGGATCCACAAGTTTAGCAATCAAGTGATTTTCTTGGTTTGCTTTTGTTTCATGGGCAGACTGCTGGATAGGTGCCGCGCAACGGCAATTTTCTTAAATAGCACCCTAGTGAAGCTACAGATTATATGTATTTTGGGGCAAATTTGCGTGGTGAGATTCATGAAATTCCCCTTTTCCTCTCCTTCCTTTCCTTTTTGGGCGTATTTTTCGTAATTCTTTTCGACTACCACAAACACCGTCACCGAGCCCCAAAAAAGTGGTCCCTGCGCCGATTCCAGCGGGGTGTTGTCGCATCTCCATTAAAACTTCGGCGCCACAGTGAATGAAGGGCGATACACAGAGTCTCCATATTCGGTCATACCCTTCATATTCGTCGACCAGTCCCTACCGAGTCTAGATAAGAAGGAATCCCTTCTCTTTTACTCTCACACAGAAGCGATGAGGCCAAATCATTCAATCTCATTTCCTCAATCGATGCAGACTTGGACTCTCCGCAGACCGTCCGCGCCTCTCAATGCACCCGCCCGCGCTACAAAGCGCCCGTCCTCGCCACGCCCGCCGCACGCACAAACGAGCGTGCCGCTCGAGAAAGGCGCGAGAACGCATTGCGCGAGACACGAACGCGAACGCGCACCTCGCTCGAGGACACGAGGAACGCAGGCGCGCGGGCTCGACTCAACGCCAGACCCAGACCCAGACCCAAAGCCGTCCGCGCCGCCCTCGAGCTTGAGGATGACCGCGCCAGGAGCTCGAGGCCGACCGCGCGCGCGTGGACCGAGGCCGACGTTGCGCGAGGAGGTCGCGAGCGCAAAGCCACAGGGGCACAAGCAGGATCCACGGAGAGAGAGATGGTTCATGAAATTAATTGGCGCGCTAAATAGGACAAAGAGCTGTATGTATATGCAATGTTTGGCATCGCCTGAATGAAACGACCCCGGAGCGTGGGCCCCAAGTACGAGCACAGAACGCGAGGGCTCGAAGGACGAGCGCAGAACGTAAAGGCTCGAAGCAAGAGCGGGGAGAAGGCCGTCCAGCCCCGCCGCACACCAGCTCGTCTCGATGCCAAACGTCGCCTGCAGACGACGTCTCGCCCCGCCCCCGCCCCCGCCCTACCCCTGCTCCCGTCCGCGCGCATACGGGTCCGAGGCGTATGTACACGAGTCCGCCCGCACCCGCCTCGGCAGACAACACGGGGCAGGACGACCAGCGGAAGCTGGACACGGCGCGGAACGACCAGCGCCGCCGCGCACGAGCTCGCCTCGATGCAAAACATCGCATACATGTGCCGACGCACCCATGCGCGCGCATACGAGTCCGACCCAAGGCGTATGTACACAAGTCCGCCTGCACCCATCCGCCTCGACGCTGCACTTGCAGGCACATCGCGGTCACAAGCGCCGGGCACAAGCACTCTACGACTCGCCACGTCCACGCGCCGGTCTTCACGAACGAGCACCAACGAACGCCAGCGCGTGCAAGATGCTTTCAACGCGCCGAGCCGAGAACACCTCTCAATCCCGCACGTCAGCGACACCACGTCCCGGCCTTCACGAACGAGCACCAGCGAATGGCAGCACGCACGCAAGACGCTCTGAACGCCTCGCTCGAGGGCGCGCGCAAGGAGCACAGACTGACAAGCGCCACCCACCAGCAACATCGTACGCCTCGCCGCCCACACCACCGCGCCGCGAACGAACGCACTGGGCACATACATGCCCGTACACGCCCCGCACTCGTCACTGTCCACGCTGCACACACACCACGCCGGAACGTGCACCACGCCGGAGCGTGCACCATGTCGGAACGTGCACGAGACGCAGACAGCGAACACGAACGCGCACCTCGCTCAGGAACGCGAGGAGCGCAGACCACCCGAGCCGGAGAAGCTCGAAGGCGGCCTGGCTGGCGACAGACACGCTGGCGGACGCAGCAGTGCGCGGTATGTCACTGTCCCTGTCCGCGCAGAGGGAGTCTAGACGACAGCGCCGCGCAGAGGGAGTTCAGACGACACGCGCGGGATTGAGGCGACACCAGACCCAGACCCTGACCCTAAGCCGCTCGAGGATAACCACGCCAGGCGCTCGAGGCAGACCGCGAGGAAGGAAAACGGTGCGCGAACGCGCGGATGATCCAGGAGCGCAGCGCAGACGATGGACACCACCCACGCGCAGGACGAACGAGCGCGCGAGTCCCGCAACTCGGAGGAGTACGCGTATGGGTGTACGAGCACGAGTCCGGGGTGTATACAGTATGTGTATACGAGCACGCGTTCCTGTCACCGTCCCCGTCCCCGTCCCCGTCCCCGTCCACGTCCGAGAACCGGATAAGGATAAGGCTGACGCCGAACCCCCAAGCGGATCCACAGCGCCGCGCAGACACCTTCCTCACTCGCTCGCTTGAGGCCGAGACCGAGGACGAAGACGAGAAGGGCGAACGGCACCGAAACGCGAAACGCGAGGGAGGCGCAGGCGCAGGCTCGAGCAAGACGAGGCGCAGGCGCGCGCCGTCCAGGAAGCGTCAGAGACAAAGGCGCAGACGAGGCAAAGGCAAAGGCTCGAGCGAGGCAAGGCACATGGGCCCTTAAACGAAGCCGAGCGCCTCGCCGCCGGGAGCAAGGAACGCAGAAAAAGAAGAATGAAAGCAAAAACAAGACGAGGAAAAGAGGACAAGGAAAAGGAGAGAGGGCAAGTGGATGGTATGAAGGAAGGAGTGGGGTAGGAGAATGGAATGGGATGAAGGAAGGAAGGAAGGAAGGAGTGGGACGAATGAGATAAGATGGATGGAATGAATGCTCACCTCACTTCGCTTCCTCCCGTCGTCGGCGTCTGCAGCACCTGTGTCCGTGGGTTCTCGTGTGTCTGTGTCCTTAGACTTCAACGTGGACCACGTCTGTGTGCGGCCAGGCGTGCGCGGGCGCGGCCTCGCCTCCCACCTCTCTCCCCTTTCCTTCTCCATCTCTCTTCCCTGTGTACCTCTTCTCGTTCCTCCACAGCACACGCAGACTCCTCCCCTCCACCGACCTCCTCTCCCGCTCGCCCGCCGACACCGACGTGCGCGGGCTAGAAAACGACGACGTCCGCCTCCCTCTCCCTCTCCCCATCGACCCCCATCGACCCCCACCCCCTCCGTCCGCACCCCGAGCGAGCACCCGCGCCAGCCTTGCCCTGAGCGCCTCGTGCTCCAGGCCCCTCTCCCTCGTACTTAACGGCGAGTGAGAAGGGAAGTGGGAGTGGGAAGGCGAGCGAGGGAGAGGCCTTCGAGCCGCGCCAGAGCCTGCGCGTGCGGGCTCTGGGCGTACGAAGCAGGAAGCGGGTGGGATGGGGAAGAGGTGGAGGAGAATTCGGAGTCGCCTTCATTCCTCTGCGCGCGAGCGCTGTTGTCGCCTCTGTTCCTGTAAGCGCTGTTATCGCCCTGTGCAGCGCACGAAGGGGAAGGATGCGCATGTTCAGAGCCAAGCAGGGCCGAGAAGCTCGGACGCGAGGGCAACGAGGCGGACGCGGACCCGCGGAAGAGTTCTCCCGAGCGCGAGTGGGGCGTTTAGAGCCGGCTTGGGCTCCCTCCTAATCCTCCTGCTCCTACTCCTGCTCCTGTTTGCGTGTAAGGAGAAGAATAGGAAGAGAGAGGGGAGGGCGAGGAGGGGAAGGTGGGCCACTGTGGCTGTGGGGCGTGCATCGTCGGCGCTGGACTTGAAGTAGTAGTGGGTGGGACGGGGGAGGAGGATGACGACATCGAGGTGGAGGCGGTGGCGATAGAGGAGGCCGCCGAGCGCGGCGAGGAGGGCGGGCAGCGGGGAGCGAGGCGCGTTTGCGGCTTGGGGTCCCGTTTGTGCTGGGGTTGTGGGTATCCAGCTACGGACGTGTACGGTATATTCGGTGCATTCAGCGTCGAATGCGCCGTGGTACTACAGCCCGACGGCGTCGCACGCGCGCTGCTTCCACTCGTGCTACTGGCACTGGTAGTCTCGTCGAGGTCGGAGAGGCTGTCGCGGGACAGTATGGGCGAGAGCAGGCCGAGGCTTGGGTGTGGCGGTGGCCCCTGCGTTTGCGCCGTGCAGGGGCTGCTATAACGGCGTCAGTCAAACTAACAACGAGAATAACAAGAAGAATGAATAGAAAGGCAGGGAAGGCAGACTCACGGGACCGGTGCATCGAAGCGGGAGGTATATTAGCGGGGAGTGTACGTTCCTGCGCGTGGGGCATACGAGGTGCACAAAAGATTCGTAAGCGTTGTTCAATGCGGGATTCACGGTGCGTGGAGTCCCTACTCGCAGAGGTTGAGACCTGTTGAGACGTTTCCCTGATGACTACTTTGTGGCGATTGTGCGGACGAACCAATGTTTGCCGGAACGGGGGCCGAGGCCTAGACCCAATGGGGAGGTGACTTAAGTCACGTACCTTCGCACAATCATACACCGCCAAAAAAAAAAAAAAAAAAAAAGAGACCTGTTGAGACTTTTCCGGTTGATTACGTGGCGGTGCCGGCCATCAAACCTGCCTAACATCTCCGTTCTCCGTTCTTTGTCGTCTTAACATATTCTCTCGCCTTTGCCCACGAAAATATTCGCTCGCCGACGGTCCTCCGCTCGCACGACTTGGCCACAAAGCTCAGATTTAACTCGAGTACAGATCTCCGGCGTTGAGATCCCTCACTCGGACACGGGCTCCAGACCCGACCATCCGCGCGCCGTATCATATCCGCCACTCGCAGCCCGTCTTCGCCCGACAGTGAAAGGCCCTTCCGTCCGTGTCCGTGAAGGCACGACACACGGGAATCTGGTCCACCTCACCTCCGCTGCGGGAAAGGTACATGAGAGGAATGTGGATAATATAGCAGATGGTGAGGGGCAATCATGGCGTGGTGGTGGAAAGGTTAACACGCCTGCTTTAAATGGTTGCATTCACCCTTTCTCAGTGGGAGATCCCTTGTTCGAATCAAGGTCTGGCCGTTCTTTTTTCGCACCGCCGTCCTATTTCCGTTGCATCAACCGTGCTTGAACTGCACCGTACGGAGGGAGCAAGCAAGCGTTTGAGGATTCCAATCCGGTAGTAATTTTAGTCCAGGATTCAGAGCAAACCGCTGTGTAATGTCTTTTCCAGGATATTTGCGAAGGACTTCATGGTCCAAGCTTTTCGGACGCTGTTATAGCCAAGTTGGTGAAGATGTGAGGACGGTCTGGTGGTGTAGCGGTAAACACGTCTGCTTACGTTGAAATAGTACGTAAGGAGTTTCGCAGAGGGTTCCTTGTTCGAATCAAGGTCGGGCGGTTCCTTTTTCGCCCGCTTATCTTGGGCAAGTTTGAAGAAGCGGGGTTTCATGCAAGTTTATGGGAATGTAAGGACGGCCTGGTGGTGTAATGGCCAACATGCCTGCTTTAAATGTCTCTGTATTCTTGTAAACATTTACAGTGGGAGATTCGTTGTTCGAATCAAGGCCAGGCCGTCTTTTTTTTCACGTCCCACCTCATTTCTTATACTCACTCTATTGGTGAATTTCGAATAAACTCTATATACTTGAACCGTACGGTGGTGCATTCATATTCTAGTTTTGTGTTGATAATTTCACTGGCAGGTTCAAGTGCATTATATCCAAGTAAGCAAATTCAGACGGTGTCATAGCCAAGTTTGTGGAGTTGTAAGGAAGGCCTGATGGTGTAATGGTTAACATACCTGCTTGAATTGACTCTGCGCTTCAGATAACTTTACAGCGGGAGATTCCTTGTTCGAATCAAGGTCGGGCCATTTCTTTTTCACACCTCGCTTTCTTTCTTCACGCAGAGAACTTTACCACACCTCAGGGCCCCCAGTCGAGCGCTACTTCGACTAGAGCTGAGGTATGATACATCGTACGGAACTAAGGAAGCAACTCGTTGGTGCATTGATAATTTATTCGTAATTCCACAAGTAGAACTGGTAAGTTCAAGTGCACCATCTAAGTAAATTCAGACGGCGTCATAGGCAGGTTCATGAAGCAGTAAGGAAGGCCTGATGGTGTAATGGTTAACACACCTGCTCGAATTTCCGTAGAGAATGAATTATATAGCAGGAGATTCCTTGTTCGAATCAAGGCTAGGCCATTTTTTCTGTGTATCAAAATACACCGACATTTTTCCGCCAACAAAGCCCGCTTTCTTTCAGCATCAAAAGTTAATCATTTCTCGTCGTCTCCTCTTTTTGAACTTGAACTAGGGTTGAGTTTCTCGACGGAGAATTGGCACGTGCCAACTCGGCAACGGCCGGACGTTTGTCTCTCTTCTTCTTTTATGGGGACTGGCAACTCAGCCAAACAAATGTCTGTTTGTCCTTTGTTTGTTCTACCTTTGCACCTCGGTGCAGACCTCCACAGTTCTCTTAAAAATCCAAACTAAATTGGATCAGATTTTTGAGATGTATACCCTGGTATTGTCCCGCGTCGATTTTCCAATTTTTGCCCTGGAGGGTTAGAAAAATGATCTCATTTTGGCAGTGAAATGGCTGTGTTGAGCAATAAATAATCATTTGTGACGAAACACGGGCGTAAATAAAAATTATGCTCGGGACAATACAAGGAGAACGTGAACCTGAAGGGATCTTGCACTTGAGGTTTGGCCAGAATCAGGACGGTTGGGGCTGCACCGAGGCACAAGGTGTCGGCGGACATCAAAACCCTTTACGTTGCCAGTCCCCAGTTGTAAAGATTATCGCGGGAGCCTGATCTTTGTTCGAGTCGAGGTCAGGCCGTCTTTGTTCTGCCTCACCTCGAGTTTGGTATAATGGTTTTATACAAGTCTGTGGAGATGCAAAGACGGCCTGGTGGTGTAAGTGTTAACACATCTGCTTCACCTATGTTGGCTCGTATGTTTCCGGCAGGAGACTCCTTGTTCGAATCAAGGTCAGGCCATATCTTTTTCTGTATCACTTATCAGCGTTATTTTCCCACCTACCCACACCGTCTTTTCTACCCTGAAGAAATACCCAGCCCAGAAAAATGATCTAACATCAGGAATACGAATCCTTTCTCGCCTTCTCGTCCTTCTGCGTGGGTCGGAGCAGGAGAGCTGAACTTGAACTTGAACTGGTTGAATTCAAAACAATGGAGAATTGGCACGTGCGAGCTTGCACGCAGCCCGCGATCATATGCACCACTCCACCACCCCAAGCCCACAACTCCGGGACCCTTGATACAATCTTGTCTTGCGGACCCGCGAAGCGTACATATGGTCGTGTTGTTGGTGCGATTCATGTTCGACGAACAGTATTGGAAGCATCCACTTGAGATCTCCACAGAAATGAAGCCTCGTCAACCAGGGGAGAGAACCAGATAATCGAAACATCGCTGTTTCGGGCTTCCCAGCTAAGACTAGTCTCTCTTGACAGACACCTTATCGATTCTAGCTCGTTCCTTGCTCGATAAACACCATGATATCTCAGGATCGATTGCCGCTCAGACTATGACTTTCCACAATCCGCAATTTTTTCTGCCATAATTTTTACATTCATTCAGCCTCATTCTATCGATTCATTCAAAGAGAAAAATATTTCGTTAAGTAATAAGTTGCATGTCAGTCTTGACACACGTGATCGTGTTTTCCTTGTCAGTGGCAGTGTGGCACTGCCACGCCCTATCTTTTGCTCTCTTCCTCTCCCTCTTAAGAAACTCCCTGTGCGCAATGGCTACATCTGGTTTCTCTCCGACAACTGTGTCAAATGCGGTATTCAATCAGCCGTGGAGTCGGACGGTGACCCTTCTTGCGCTGAGCGATCCAGCCTCCGATCCTTGGCCGAACTTGCATCTCTAGTATTCAAGTTGTGGGCATCCGGCAACATGGGAAGCCAATGCCTCAGAGTTTTGACTGGTCGACTCGATATTAATAGCCTTTGCTCCGGTTGCATCCAGATACGACGTCTTGGCCATTGCCACACGGATCGACTCTACTATGCCCTCAAATGCTCCTCAGCGACCACCGGTAGAGATACTCGAACCTCATTGTGAACGACACGGTCAAATCAGGCTCTATCGGCGGATCAAAATTCTCTTCCGTCGTGTGTTTGTCGTTGCGAGAGCAGGCCGAGGCGTGGGTGCGGCGGTGGCCTCTGCCTTTTGCGCCGTGCAGGGGCTGCCATAACGGCGTCAGTCAAGCGTCAGTAAACCAATAACGTGGAAATAACAAGAAGGGCGAATAGAAAGGACAGAAGGCGGGGAAGGCAAAAGACTCACGGGACCGGTGCATCGACAAAGCTATGATATCTGTGAACTTAGTCTCCCTGAGGCAGACGTCAAAGAGTACGGCGCAACTTTCGCAAGCTCAAGATACCTATCTGACGTCTGCTTTCTGACGCGTGACCCTTGTCGATAGGGTCAATTCAGACTCCGACCGAATTGCCTCTAAGCGGGGTTTGAAAGCCGTAGATACCTATTCTACGCAATGAAGCGCGGAGGCTGGTCTATGGGCAGCTTCCTCGAGAAGCTCTTTGTCGTTCCTCCCCGCGGGGAGCCTGGCCGGTCTCCCAGACACGCTGAGGCGGTCTCTTCGTTCTTGCGTAGCGCTGAGCACGAGAAAGTCCACGCGGATCGCATCGTGGAACTCATATATTTCAACAAAGACAGTGCTCCGAAGGCGGTCCCCAACACCTCCAGCCAACCTGTGGAGAAGGTCCGCCCTGATGCGTCTCGAATGGCCCGCCATCTACTCTCTGAGTGGGCGATCCGGAAGGTCGAGGGGTTCGTTGGCACGGCGTCGCAGGAAATCTCTTCGAAGGAGGGAGGTTTCCATCTCACCCGAGAACAGACTACCTGGGACTTTCTCCGTGGCTTTTCCCTGGCAAAGGCTATACTGCCTAATGAGCAGAAGGGAGCCGTTCTCCTGCGCGTCCTCGCAGCCGCCGCACTCCCGGCAGCGTTGAGCGAGGCCTTGCGGCCTTCCGTCCAAAACCCTGCCCCATACTTTACCCATCTCTCGCGGCCGGCGCCGCCTGGTTCTGGGGCGAACCGGAAGGACCCGTTAGTTGTGAGTCTCAGCTCCTAGCGTGCCAGCAACATGCTCATACATCCTCTGACATAGATCATTGTTATTACTTTTCTTATGCTCATGTATGCCCGTAACCTCCACTTCTCGGTCTTGCGAAAGCTTGCAGGGATCTGGCTTTTTGCAAATAATGCATCAGCTTCCATCTTCACCGTTTTGAGCCGGATTGGGCTCTCGTCCTCGTACACCACTGTATTGAAGACACTCCGTGCACTTTCTGCATCCGCACAGCTACTCATTCGGGAAAAAGCGCAAAAGCGTGCTTTCCTTCTCATCTACGACAACATCAATTGAATGCAGCGTTCGTGGGACCCCGACCTCGGTCAACGGGACAACATGGATAGCGGAACGGCGGCTACATTCATAGAGCTGATGAATTGCAACGTCGGCAAGGCCTTTGACCCGAAAGCCTTGAAAGACGCGAGAGATGCGGGGGTCCGAGGAAAGCTCACCACCCAAGTTCTCTTGGAGCGAATTGATATGCCAGAGCTGAGCGCTCTCATGGCCCTGCACTGCATCTCCTTCTTAATTGCGGATACCCCGGTCCTCGCCCCGCACCAAGCCTTCATCAATCTCCGGTTTCGGACGACGCACGCGAAGCATCGCATGCCTGACGGCTATGTGACTTCAATTCATCCTCTCGCCATCAGAAAGCAGACGTCAGATCAAGGATATCCTGAGGCATGAAGGTTCAAGGAATTGAGCTACTCTGCCTCTGGGAGACTAAATGACACCAGTATCATGGTGAATCTCCGACGCCGCGTCGTCATCCGCCTTCGCACTGGCACTGCTCGGGCTCAGCATAAGTGTCGTTCAAAGTTGCTCCTACTTGTTTCCTACTCCGGCTCCTACTTCTTGCCCAGCAGGCAATTCTACTCGGATTTGGCTAAAAATGAAAAGGAGGGTTATCCGATACCCATATAACATCCCTACATATTTTCCTGCTCGATTTTTCAAATAGTTCCCAAGAAGGATGAACGAGTAGGAAAAAATTAGGTTAACTTTGAACGCGCAGGCTGGCAATTTGCCCAAGTAGGAGAACTTTCCCTCAAACTTTGGGCATAATTACAACTGTGATACAAGTAGGAAACATGATATTTTACACCTCTTCACACATAACTAGATAGTCGTGAAAAAAAAATAGGAAAATATTGAGTGGAAGTACAAAAAGGGAAAAGAGTAGGAACCAAAATTTGCAGTAGGAGCCATCAAACTTCCTACTCCTGTCAAACTTCCTACTTGGTTTTCTCCTACTTGCGAGTAGGACAACGAGTAGGAGATTGAGTAGGAACTAAGTAGGGGCTACTTTGAACGACACTATATGCACATCCCCCTTGGGCTCGTCGCCGGTGGAATGATCTGTCGGTTCCGAGCGCCCGGAGGAGTGCGTCCGCCCGCTGCGCGCGGGGGAGAAGTGCACGACGCTGAGCGGGATGGTGGGGTTGGGGTTGAGCGTGGGGATGGAGAGCTCGCCGCCGCTACTAGCTGCCGCGCGCGATGCCGAGCTTCGTGTTGCGGTAAACGCGGCACGCCATGATGCTTGTCAGCGTCACGCTCGGGATGACCATTAGCCCGTGGTACACGGGGCTCACGGTGACGTATATAAGGAGTGGGGCGACAATGTTGGTCACGACCGTAATCCTGGCAACCGAAAGAAGAAGGAAAGACAGGAAAAGATTAGCGCGTGGCAGGTGAAGAGGACAGCGACGCACAGGTAATACATCTGCCCATCCGTAAACAACGCCTTCGAGAAGGAGGGCAGGTTGGCGCCGCTGAAGAGTGATTTGAATCGCACCGCTCGCGTTTGCTGCCGCGTGCCTGAAAAGTTGGAAACGAGGCGGTAGGAGATCGCGAAGAACACGAGTGTGTCGTGCACCGTGATGATGATGCCCGACGCGCCGATGTACGCCTCCACGCGCACGACGATGCACTCCGGAGGGTCCCCGAAGGAGACTGCGCTGCCGGCGCCGAAGGGGATGGTAATTGACGACCCCAGAACCGCGAGCCACAGGAATCCAAATATTATGGTGGCCAGGCGTTCGCCGTCGTATATCCCGCGCACGCGGAAGAAGAAGAGAAAGGCCGTTGCGGAGACGCCGATTGGGTAGAAGATATTAAATGCGACGTATGCCGTGTTGCATGCACGCAGAGGATATGCTGGATAACAGTAGATCAGCGTTCAGCCGTTTTGCGGACTCGGGCCCAATGCTCACACGCGAATATTGTGAACCCCAAGACGTAAACTAGGGATGCGATTCTGTTCGCTCTCGCATTAGTGCTTTTTCGCCGTGTACAACGATAGGTTTGCACCTGGACGTGACATATGCCACGGTGACCAGATGTATTTTCTGCTTGAACAGCAAGATATAATCGCTCCGGAGGTTGTTTAAGATATCCCAAATGAACACCTATGGCGCCCGTCTGTCAGGGAGCATGAAGAAACAAAAATTGAGAGTAGTACCCCCGTGGAGCCAGCAAACACGTAGGCCAAAACATTAATTTGCCTCTGAAGATCCGCTGGAAGCTCCACAGGGGCCCCAGAGGACTGGGACATCGTCGAGCGGCGCAGGAGGGGGAATAAAAGAGTGTTGTGGTTTTGAGACACCCAGGGAGAGACCAAGCAAAGATAGGTGCATCGTGGGCCAAGTCGTGGGCTATTTATTGGATCGTTGCATTCAATATTCAAAATTTTGATTTTGATTGAAATTTGCACAACTGAGACGGCGATCAATGTTACGGTTTTGTGGAGTCCACTCAATAGGCCTAGAGTCTTCGATTCGCCGCTCGCGCTAACCCGAACCTAGGCCCAACCCGATCTATTTTGGAAAACAAATCCTATGAGATTGATGCGCCACATTGGTGTGCTCATCTGTTG